AATCCCTTGGATATTAATAACTGTTTGAACCAGATTCATCTTTTGGTGATTTGGACTCTCATCCCTATTGGATGTTTCCCACATGGCAGGTAATGAGGTTGATTTGACCTAGTATTTTAGTGCATTAGAGCATTAGTTTTAGAGTCAGATGGCCTGGATTTAAATTCTAGCCCTTCTACTTATAGTTGTGTGACCTTGTGAAAATATTTAAACCACTTTAAATTTCCTCCTTTGCCAAATGATACTACTAATATCTGTTTCTTAAGGAATGTATACAATACCATAAAAGGAATTGTATACAATACCAGTAAAGCATCTTCACTGACACCCAGTGAGCCCCTGGTGGTGTTTTTTATCCTCAGAGTCTAACCAGAAAAACAGAAGACACTCAAAATGTATAAAATAGAATTTAGTGTATGTAAGTCATTACGCTGGTGATGGAAAAGCAGGGACAATAAATAGAAAACTGTGGTGAGACAGTCCACAGACAAGCAATAACAGGATGAGCAATAGCAATAGCAGGATGTTGCTACCATCTCTAGACGTTGACACAGAGATGTAAGGTAATGTTATGAGAACTCAGGGGCCAGAGTCAAGTGATTGGAAGCTGGTGCCTTGAAAGAGATACACACATGGCCTGATGATCAGGATGAGATGATGCCTAAGGCTGAGATAGACAACACATAGTCTGTTTCCTCTCTTCTTTCACCCTTCTATCCTTCCTTCTGTGGAGCCCAACAGAAAGCCAACTGATAAAAGATCTGGAAAACACAGTTTATGGGGTCAGGTTACCAACCTGACAGAGCCAAAAGGAGAAGAGTAAGATCTGATGGCAAACAGGCCCATGTTCTGCTTCATCTTATCTGTCGTCATTGCCAATATGTCAGCCTTTCCCAGTTCTGTTGTTCAGTATAATTCAAAGGATTTTTATTTCTTTACTTTCTACACTATTGCATTTTAGAGCAGACGTCATACTTATATACTTGGTATAATCCACCTTGCAAAGTGTCTTATTCATGGAAAATACTCAAGTATTCAAGGAGTAAATGAGATTGATTCTATCAATCCATATTAGGACTTTACAATCATACCTTGACCATTTCAACAACTTAAAAGTTCACCTACATACTTCTAATTTCATTTTATGCTTCCCTGTTAGAATAAATCACAATTTTTATGCAAAACAAGTAAGTGTTCCATTTCCATTACCTGCTCTCTATACCGGAGAAATCATATGATCAAGGGTTATTACCATGATTAAGAGTTTCTAAGAACTTTTTCTTTAGGCTCTGTATCAGTTGTTATCGATGAATGGTTCATTGTATCTAGACATTGCTCTTTGTATGTTTCTCAAAAGCCGACTAGGTTCAGCATTAGTGAGTCACATTTTCTTAATCTCATTTGAAATATTGTGAATCTAAATTCTGCCCATTTAACAAGTAGTAAGTTTTTAGAGTACTACCTCTCAACTGTTGCTTAATTCATGAAGTTTCATATTGCTTTTATGAAAAGAATACCTTATTTTCTAACTTTGGAATCTTTTTCTTGGGAATTTCCTCAAATTAATGTATGTTCAAATGTAATGCCATTTGTATATAGGATATCACACTATGAATCCTTTACTTTTCTAGCTATAAATACAAGTCAGACCTAGAAAAAGGTACTTTATTATCTTAATCTATTCTATTTCTAAAATTACTCTGCTTTTCACAGTGAACGCTCCTATGTGCTTAAGAAATTTTAATATTAAAATCTATATAATAATGTTTTCACCAACATTTCTCCTGGCATTTATACACTCTTTATCTTACTCATTGTACAAATACAGTGTTTGGAAGTGTGAAATTTTCCTGTTATGCACATGATATAGGGTTTCAAGGATAAAGAAGTAGGAATAAATAGCAACCCTAATTTCTCATGTTAAATTGGATTTAATAGGGCTGATATTTTGTTAGAACAGCCACAGCCCCATTCATGCATTTATTATAACTGAATCTCCTGCTAAAATACTATGTAACCACCATGTGATATCTATATCTTTCTTTCTACTGAGATATTTATAGAACCTGATATGCCTTTAATATTTCCTGAAAATTGTCCCATGTTTCAAACATTATTGGTAATTAGTGGTTTATAGTGCACTATATTTCATCATCCTTTTACCACTTTAATTATTTTAGCGATATTCATAGGGTAAAGAATCTGCAAATTGCCTAGGCCCAAAGCAAAGGCTGAGTGGGATTGGGACTGTAACTAGTAAAGCCATCGAGAAAGGAATTAAATCCAAATTTAAGGCAAGGCAAGGTCGTGGATATGAATCAGATTTAGAATTTATCTCCCATCCACACTTCCAAAAAAAGACAGTGAAAATAGAAATATGAGGTAAAATCTAGAGAGCAAAAGAATATGTATACTTTAAAATAAGAACATGTTCATTATTAGGAGAGAATGTAAGGAGCTATGTTGTAAGCTGATTTGTGACTTTGGGATTTTTTTTTCTTCTTCTTTTTAGCCTCGTTAAGTGTGGTTAAAATTCTCCTTGAATCACTTATAGGAAGATTGTCAGTCTGCAGAATGATGATATATTACATATCTAACTGACATAACATAATTTTCTTAAACTGCATGTGTTTACAATATGTTTTTTCAGATCCTGCCCATAACAGGATCGATATTCAGTTTATCCTGTTGTTAGTTGAGGAGACTCAATTTAATGCTGCTTAAGGAACCAGTTGTTTTATTTTTATGCTTTTTGAATCCTATGCTTTCAAGTGCTGTAGAACTATAAAGTGCAATAGAAATATAATGTGAACCACAAAGGTGAACTACATATTTAATTTTAATTTTTCTGGTAGGATCTGTTCAAATATTTGCCAGTTTTTAAATTGAGTTGTTTGCTTTCCTATTGTCTATTTTGTCATATAGAAGTATCGCATATATTTTCCTCCATTCTGTGACTCGTTGTTTCATTTTTCTTAATGGTGTTCTTTCAACAGAGAAAAGGTTTTTAAATTTGATACAGCCCAATTTCTAAGTTTCAAAGGTTTTTCTTGGCCTGTCTCCCCAAATTTTCTGCTGTATTTTCTTCTAGAAGTGTTATGGTTGTTTATTTATGGCTGTGCTTTAATTTATGTTGTTATTATTATTTTTTGTATGATGTATATAAGGTCAATGTTAATTTTTTCCCAAATGGATATCCGGTTTTCCCAGCATCATTGTTTGAAAGAACATCTTTCTCCATTAAATTGCTTTGGTACGTTTGTAAAAATCAATTAACCATTTATGGGTAAGTTCACTTTGAACTCTGTTTCCATTGATCTGTATATCTACAGTTCACAAATACTGGCTTTATATTAAGTCTTAAAATGAGGTATTATTCTTCAACTGCATACCACAATTTGTTTATCCCATTCATCCACTGATGGGCATATGGGTTGTTTCCACCTCTAGGCTTTTATGTATAATACTGCTGTAAACATTTGTGTACAAGTTTCTGCAAGGACATATATTTTCATTTCTTCTGGACATATACTTTAGAGTAGGATTGATGGATCATATAATAACTCTGTGTTTAACTTTTTGAGCAGTAGTCAAACTCTTTTCCACAGTGGCTGCATGATTTTACATTACCACGAGTAGTGTATAAGGGTTCTAATTTCTCCATGTCCTCACCAACACTTGCTACTTTTTGTTATTTTAATTTGTTTTTGATTGCAGTCATATTAACTAGGGGGAAGCGCTATCTTATTGAGGTTTCAATTTGCATTTACTTAATAACTAATGATGGGGAAGATCTTTTCATTGTTGGCCATTTATCTGTTGTCATTGGAGAACTACCTATTCAAGTTATTTGCCCATTTTTTTTTTTTTTTAATTGGGCTCTCTCTTTTTGTCGTTGAGTTGTAAGGGTTCTTTATGTATTCTGGATACTAAGCCCTGATCTGATATGTGACTTGAAAATATTTTCTTCCATTTTATAGGTTGCCTTTTTACTTCCTTAGTAATGTCTTTTGAGAAACAAAAGTTTTAAATTTAGACAAAGTCATATATGTGTGTGTGTGTGCGTGTGTGTGTGTGTGTTTTGTTGCTTGTGCTTTTGGTGTCAAATCTAAGAATCCATTGCCAAATCCGAGGTCATGAAAAACTACCTCTATGTAATTCTTCTAAAAGTTTTATGCTTTTAACTCTTATATTTAAGTCACTGGTCCATTTTGAGTTAATTTGTATGTGGTATAAGGTAGAGGTCCAATTTCAATCTTTTGCATGCCGCCATCTAATTCTCCCAGCACCATTTGTTGAAGGGCTAATCTTTCCCCATGAATGCTCTTGACACCTTTATCAACAATTGATTGGCCATGGATGTTTGGGTT